CATATTTACATAGACTTAATACATATGAAATATCACTGGTTGAAATCATGAGTCAGTTGAAGCTAGACCACCATGGAAAACCTGGAAGCACCGGACGGACGTTTCGTCCTAGTATGGGACTCCTCAGCAGTGCGCATCCACGATCCCGCCCCTCGCGAGATTCGAACCCAGGACCTATCAGTCTCGCGCCAGGCGCTTAATCATACAAAAAACATATGAAATAATCTAAAAAAACTAAAGACTGTTATTGTATTTTAAATTTTTGGGAAATCTGAAATATCGAATTTAACTATCTAATGGCTAATGGAAATAGCATATAGATGAGAAATAATTACTCACTTGATGAATATCAAGGAAAGAATAACTGAATTTTACAATAGTAACAAGTCGTATCTAATAAAAAGTTAGAAAACAGTAATAACAAGTGATTGCTAAGTTTAGAAACTGCAACAATGAGAGGGGGAAACTGAATATTTTGTTTGTATCCACAGATACTTAGCTTAAATCGATGGATTTATAAAATTTTCAGTTAAGCTAAATGTTTTGGTTGTATGAATTACTTTGAAATGAAATTTTGGTAGGGCCAGAATTTCTGAGGTGTTCCAAAATTGAGCTACTGCTTATTCATTTCAATAGGAATAGAAGGTAATGATCGTTAATTGTAATCCTAATTCAAAACAATATGAACACTATTATCGTTCACAAAAATGAATACATCAAGCACAGTATCACTGTTTTATTTACACAAAAAGCTTATTCTAATCAACATTATCTTTCTTTGCAAAGAATTGATCAAAAAATAATTTACAATACCGCACTATCAGTAATTGTTACATGAATCCGATTTATTTTAAAAATCATATTGTAATCATAAGTAAGAATTAACTTTTGCACTGATCACTGTTTTTTCTACTCTTTGAATGCTAATGTGTACTTTTTTTAATGCTGAAACCAAGTCCTTCATACCAGTTATTATGATAACAATCACGTGTCTAATTATGTGCCTGTATTTTTATGTGCATATTAGAAACTAAGCATTTCTTGCTGTAAATATATATATATATATATATATATATATATATATATATATGCCATAAATTCTAAATCGCTTTATTCTTTGTTACTGTCAATACTGTGAGTTGACAATCTTTTAACAATCAATAAAACTTTATTTTTACTTAGAAAAACAAGTTCTGAAATTATTTATTAAGTTATACAGCAAAGTGGCCGGTGAATTAATGCAATATAAAGGTTGTTATCCAAAATATTGTATATATGATAAAAAACGATTAATGTTAAGAGAAAAACAGATGCTATGTACATAATACAGTTATCGTTAATCAGAGTTACATAACACATATGTCTGTCACTACCAGAATAAACTTCTTTAACCTTAAACAATTTTTTCGTTATCTGTAAGAAAAATTATGGGGTACACTATTCTTAAAACTTCACATTTTTACGTATATTAGGCTAATTAAAGTTTTTTTTATATCTAAAACAAAGCAGAATCTCAGCGTCTAATTATATGAAGCATATTTAACTTTACATTTTAATATTATTTTCAAAGAGTTTGAAGTCAGTAAAACAATTTCTTTTAAATGCCTTGTTTATTAGAAACAATTATATTCTCCTATATAGTTCAATGACTTTTGGGCATTGGTTTTTATTATTAAAAGAAAAAGGTAGACGTATCTTTAGAACTTACACCCTCTAGTTAATGGTTACTTCTAAATCTTAATTAGAGTTATTATATTTTGGTGACAATTAGATAGGGTATTTCGTCTTATTCGAGATTTTTTAATTAAATGTAACTTTCTTTTCAACACTGATGTTCAAAATTTGACTCAAACTCAGTACTAATCACTTCGAACTCGAACACATCCATCAAGCTATTTGTTTAATGGACATATTTTTCACTATTTTTAAGTGTCTATATCATTCGGTGTCTGATATCCAGGACTTCATTTGATCACTCTCTGTTACGACATAAACTCCTCAATATTACCTTCAACTTCCTGGGCCCTACTTCTGGACAAGCCAGATAGTACCTATAGGTATATTTAAGCATTTACTCAAGGGACTCATCTTAACAAAAACTGGTCAAGTGTACGTTCTTGAATATTGAATACTAGAAAATAAAAAGAATTAAGAATAGTTAAAATGTCTGCTTTTTGACCAAGTGTAAATGTCCTTCTTTGTTTCCCGTACTATAACCTTTTTCAACTACTCATAAAAATAATATCAATCAATGTTTCAACGTTTATGCAATGTTTCCCTATTAGCTTAGCCGTAAACGTAATGCTGAAGTTATACATATATTTTTCAGCTAGAGTTTTCAGTCCTCAATAGCTTGTAGTGACTAACTCATTCATGAAATTGTTAACAATTACACTATAGAATTCAGATGATTTGTCAATACATTTTCAAGAAAACCATGATATCCAACTAATGCTAGTTGCTTATCAATCAGATCTTCATCATTTTCACTGAGCCATAGTTTGTTTAGAAATAAGTCATGTGAAGAATATATTCTTGATTTGACTTATTTTATCGGCAATACTTTTATTACTAAATCTTATTCGCTGCAAAGGTGGATTAACAAATTTCCTTTAAATACACAAATATGTAGGGAGTGTAATAAGCGCCATTTAGAGAAAAATGAATAATTATTCTTCACAACTTTTCAGATAATCTGTTATTTATTTTGGCTTGTCTATCATCATTTACAGCATAATGGTAGCACTAAGCTAATTTAATATTCAACTATATATGTACATTTTGACATGAACGTACGTCGCTTAAAAAACCTTTGAAAACCAGGAGGTACTAGACAAATGTTTTCTCTTGAACTTAAATCCCCCCGTACATTGTTCACTTATAACTACTCACAGAAAGGAACATTAAATATTCAGGTTTTATAGTGACAATGAGTCTACTGTACCAGTGGATAGAAATACGATTGTTCAACCCTTCCATTTCTTTGTCTACATTTCTTCAATCGATTTTAGTTTTTGATAAAAAGACTGGCAACGAAACGTGTTCACATATTATAAAACTAATAAATTTGAGCAGTTATAGTAAAATAAGGTGTCTTAAAGCATCTATTGATACATATGTATATAATAACCATTAAGTTAAAACGACCACTATATATGTGGTCAAAGTCAATTACTGAAGCGGTATCTTTCCTTAAAATGTCTCTGCACAAAAATTACTATATAACAAACAACTGTTTTCGACTCTTGAATGTATAAGAATTGGAATGACCATAAATTATCGTTCATTTGAATAATCTAGAACTAAATATGCTTCAAGCATGTTACACAGCACATTTTGGAGACGATGTAACCAGAGTACTGAAATGCATGAATAGTAAGCACTAGACACTGGTATGCATTGTTATGTTATTTATAATAGGTGGTTTTTTATATTAACCTTTTCCTACGCAACATAATCGTGACGACGTTTGTTTTGTGGAAAAACACTGTTTTGTAGACTGCTGCCTATTACTTAACAATATGTTGTAACCAGACACAGATTGTTTGAGACAATGTGCATGCATTAGGGTTTCTCTTGACCAGATAAAAAACTCAGTTATATTTTCATAAAACATACACCAATATATATGACTAAATGAAATTAGAAAAGCACGTATAGATTAGGGATGTAAAATAAATCCAAAACGGCGTCTCAAAACACTGATTGCCCATTAGAACTTGAATAGACCATAAGTGTGTAGAGAGCAGTACTGATGATTATGCATCCAACCCAAGGTACGAAGTTGTTAAATTGGAAATTAATACAAACAATTCGATTTCTGATTATGAAGTTATCTAGTTGATCCCTTAAACTGACAACAAGTAGAGTTCCCTAAAAAATAAGACGCCCAGATTTATAAGTTATTTTAGACAGTTGCACCTCTGTGAAACTCTGAAACATTTAATTGACGTCATTATACAATAAGAGACCGAATTTCTAGTATCCAGAGTCTTCAGTAGCAATAAATTTTACTCATACTCACCGATTACGAACTTATAGTTGCTTATGAATTAGAGATTAGAACTTTACATTTCGATGCATGTAAAGAATATAATCATTATTTTTGTAAAAATTAACGCTTTCTTATTCAACTAAACTAAATATTGTTTAAGGGTCCTCAAAAGTTGTCTTCATATAACAATTTAAACCCTAATGTTAGTCAGTTCGTTTAATCACCAAGCATTCTGTTTACGTTTTCTTATAACACAGTAATCGTTCATACATCTCGTTTTTGTTCACCTTCTAAAAACGTCATTCAACAAAATTCAGTTTGAGATTACTTAGTCTGTACTACCTTTTTCCTATTGTTCATTCTAGTAAAATTAATACATCACTGTACAGTATTTATGTAAATAACATTATAAATACTAATTCAGTAATATTTAGTCACTTAAAGTTTGAATGTCACTATCCACTCAAAGCAATATATATAGTACAATCCTTGCGTCATCTAATAAAATTAAATATACAAGCAACAGTTAACATAATCTACTGTAAAATTTTGTGTAGTAAGATCAGTGAGTAAACCGACTTATACCTATTACGTATATATACGTCAACATAATCGCCACCAATGGTTAATCTGTATTTGAAAAAGCTAGGCTATTCTCAGACGTTACAACTCTTGATTGTTGAGATGACAAGTAGACTTGACAAATGCAAATAATTTATATATAATTGTCTAGACTAATCACCATGAATTTACTTGTTCACTGTTATTATATTTTGTCTTGGATTCAATGATTTAGATTTAGCCGAGCTATATGTGCTATGGAATATAAGCATCCATTTAGTGTTAACTTCAAAGTTGTTTAAAAATCTACTTACTAAACGTATACACTTAATTAAAGTGGTTTTTCTCTTTAAATGACGTAACTCAGTCTAAGTGCATCAAAATCAAACATAATCCTAATAAATTCGATAAATTATCGTTCTTTAAATTGTTTTTAAATCATCAGGTTGATCGAATATCACCATCACTTGTGTCTAGTCCAAACTCCTGCGTTCCTGCATCATCACCATCGGGTTTCCTTAACAAAAACCAATCTGGAGTACCATCGCCTATGGCATCTATATCTGTTTCACCGAACTCATCAACATCTGGACTTCCTTTGCATAATTTACCATTGAATTCGTCTTCTACTTGTACAAATGTTCAAAATCGTCTAAGATCAACCATTGCTGTAAATAATAATAACAGTAATAATAGTAACAATGGTAATGATGGCAACAATAATCAAAATATTGCAGCTACCCATCGTTCTCATCCAAATCAGTTGCCTTATCCTCATCATCAACATTCACATCAAGTAAATGAACAATTACAAACATCCGGTGGTATACAACATCAACGACAACATTCACAAGGTCTCCCTGTACAATCTCAACCAACAAGTCAATCGCTTGTAACGCATTTTCGGTTGGTTCCTTTAAAATAATCACTTTATATAAATATATATATATATATATATATATATATATATATATATATATTCATATCCACACATATTTATGGAATATAACTGTCATCTTTTACTAGACGTTTTATGACACAGGTTTACTCAAAAATTATTTGTCCGCTGTCTTCGAGTTATTAATAGTATGAAGTTCAGTTGTGATGAACCTTGATCACTTGACATTTTTGAAATTTGCTTTCTAGCAAATTCGAAATCGCATGACTATGGTAACCTTGAATAAAGCTGCCTAATAAAATCTGTTTATAGAGATGCTTTCAAAACATGACTGACGTATGATGGAATCACGCAATCGATAACAGGTGATTCAGCATAAGATATTAAACATGACAAAGTCAAATAGTGAAGACGTCAATTTCCAACAACTTGATAGTCAAGACTTTTGTGTAGTATAGCTAATACCGTCCACCCCTTCACAATATGTTATTAAAAAGCAAATAGTACTCAGATCAACATACAAACCAAGTCCCTAAAATAAGTAACTACTAATTCGAATTGTCTAGAAATATGCAGATCTTTTTAATAAGATAAGCTTGACAATCACAATCAATGCGTGAAAACGTGAGCTAAACCTCACAAGCATTCAGATTTTGTTCTGTACTCGATCTTCGGTTTTAATTTCTCTTACTTATCTGTTTTTAATGAATAATATGTTCAACAATTGATTTCCCACTGTAACTAATACTACGATTATCGTTTACATTTCTTGCTTTTCTTCTGCTATTTTACTCTTTCTCGTTGTTCGAGTTGTGACAACGCGAATCGATATTTACATTTGAGCTATCGCTTACCTCTGTTGTTCTCCTTTCAAATATTTCAACACTGTATCTGTAAAAGAGCAATTGGTTCCATCCAGAACCCTAATTGAAATCAAGATAATGAAATTATTTTTTCACTAGTTAAACTGTGAAATAAAATAAAGGAACTAACATAGTTTATTCCATTTTATCTCATTAGTTTGATGATTTTCATGTTTTCCATTTCACGATGATTAATTAACAACAACTGTCAGTATGCATTTCGAAATATAAAAATGATAATTCAGGCGAATATTATTTGATTAATGTGTGTAAGGTAACTTTATATTGATTTTCTAGGAACAAAAAACTTACACAATCCAAGTTACTTATCATTATTAATCACTGTAATATCTACTTCACTTTTGTGATTAACTTGAAAAATGAATAAATTTTAAGCAAAGTAATCCCAATCTAAAATCGGAAATATAATTTGCAATTTAGTTGATGGGGTTTTAAAGGAAGCCAGTTTAATTTGCATGTTGTATTCGTCACAAATTAATAGTATTTGAGTTATTACTGGAAACCAAGAAACACAGAACATTCTTTCCGTCTTAGTATAGAACTCCCTAGCAGTGTGCATCCGCGGTCGCACCAGTGATCAGACCTTTAACATGTAGTTTGGTGATTTTTGTTATTAAGCAACTGTGCATTAGCTTCTTCCTTTTTATTTATGGAACAAGTTTTACCTGGCAACTTAATTCTTATGCTGATGCCAGTCTATGATAAAAATCAACTTTAAACTGTACAAAATATATACTTAAAATTTGTTTACTGCTAATAGATTTCGAGATAACTATTTCAAACGTTTGAAAGACTAGTATCCGTAGAGCCGGTAAATATGAAAGTAACTCAACAACTCACCGACAATGATAAGTGAGGATTAGACTATAGATTGAATTTCATGAAGATAAAAATGTGAACTTGTTAACTTTTATCAAACGAACTGAATGTATCTTTTTCATTGCAAGTTTTGTAAGTCTCCTGATCCATCCAGTATGAGATTATGGGTGGGCACAGCTAAAAGGTTCCAGATTGGAAAAACCCTGCGTTTGATTACTCTGATTTTTAACTGTTTTTAAGTTGATGTGTATTCGATATCCTACTCAAATATATTTACTTAAACCCATCTTCATTTAAGCTTAGATCTAACTGGTTTGCAGTACGAAATTGTATGTGATTATTTTTATACAAATATAGAAACTGTACGAGTATATTGGTTCACTGTGTTATCATAAGCATTTTATGTTTAATTTTAAAAGTTAAGAGCAGTTAATCAGCTTTATCAATAGCTATCTCCCAACCAGTGCAAAATACGCCTTCATTAATGTTATATGACACATCTATCTTTTTAATGTTACCTACTGCCTGTTACTGTCATAACAACTGAATTTAAAGGTAGAAAATCACCAAGTATAATGATGAGCAAAATACATTTTAATATGCTCCAGATAAATTCATGTAATTGTAAGTTTTCTAACAACATAACTGGAAAATAAGAATGATTGTATATATTCAAGACAAGCAAACGTATACAAATAGATGTGTAAATTTATATTAACAAATTCTTCTGTTAATTCATGTCAAAACTCTAATCTACTACTTTTCGCAGTTAAATTTTAGTTTATTTCACCGATATCATAATGTAAACGTACGTTATCAGTACTGCCTAAACAATTATGATACCTAGCTTATTTTCAAAACTGTCATATTCTTAGTCTGAAACTCTAAGAATAACTCACTTAAGATATGTTTATATTAAAAGTTAAATGTTCATTGATATGAAGTCAAAATATTTAAGTATTCTTAATCTCATAACTTGTACATTGTTTCCTGGTATTTATAAAAATGTACCGTCTCCAGTAATCTCATCAACTTAGATCAACTAACAAGGAGTTTAAAACTAATATGTAACTAGTTACTTCATATTTTAGCTTCAGATTATCCTATATGGTGCTTTGACAAACCGGCACATGTTCGAATCTAGAACTTCCTGGTGTTCGTAACATCAGTTTGTAGTAAGACGCTACAACTATCTAATTTAACTGGATTCAGAGCATTTGAATTCATATGAGAAATTAAATATTATCATTAATCATATGCGCCTTGAAGTTTTCCAAATGGTTTAAAAAACAGTCCTGTTGTGGAACAAAGTAATAGTTCGAGAAGCGTATGATTGCGTTATGCTGTTTCCATTATTCCCTCTACAGTTACTCGATAACTCAAGGGCGAGCTACATACGTACTGATAAGTAATTATAACCATAAAATGCTAAATATACTTTATTCTCACTACTTTTCTCATTCATAATTTTTATCATATGTTGTATAGCTCTTGTAGTCAGCCAGTTTCCATGTCCAGTGGTCGAGATTGTGGTTCCAATACAGGTGTAATACTAAGTTCAAACTCATCGGGTGTATCTACAGCCACAACAACAGTAACAGGAACTTTGGGTCAGACTCAACTTCGGATTCCTGGAAGTTTAGGTGGCATTCTATCATCAAGTTCCTCACTTACAGGTCTATGTGGTTCGAATGTAAATACTGGTCAACAAGGGTGCGTTACCGGTTCCATTAGTACATCATCTGGACAATTGGTCCAAGGACTTGAATGCTTACGATTGAATGCATCAGTTACTTCTACAAGTGCATTAAATAACTCCAATCATGTGCTGCTTGATCAACAACAAATCCCCAAAACACAAAGAGTTCAACAACCTCAATTCATTCTGTCAGCTAATTCCGGTATAGTTTATGGATCAAACATAAATACGGCTGCAGCACGAATTGTTGGCACAGTGTTACCTACTACTCCCCAACCTGGTAATCAACATTCACATCAAAGCAGTATGGATAGTGGAGTGGGTCAGTCTCTCACAGGTCAATCAAACCCTAGTGCTAATCAAACTCCTGAGCATACTGTTATGCTATTTTGTGATCCAAGTAAGTCAGATTAATGATAAAAAATTTTAGAATGGGAGTTACCTAAACTTCAGTTTTTCGTCATCTAAGGACAAGTTCAACCACTTATCTCCTCATAACATGTTTTCTTTTTTGTCAGAATAAAAATATTATGTAAATCATAGGAAAGAATTGAAGATAACAAATTTCAAAATATATAGGTCATCAACTTCCATGTAACGTATGCCTATCGTTAAAATGAATATCCTGGCAAGTAAACAAAATTATTTGAGTCGTTTCGCGACAGTTGTCAGACGCTTATTAAAATAAACACGATTATTGGTTTATTTGATAACATATTGAGTTAGCTTAGGTAGTACTATACGTAAAATAGAATTATGAGCTGAGTTGATATTTTTCTTAAAATTATTATTCTACGACTGACTAGCCCTCCATATCATGTGTGTAATCCGACTTCTAACAATATAGACTATCCAGTTACAAAACAGTTTGTCCACAGAAATGGTTTATTTCTCATGTGGTTGGCTTTTTAACAAATAACTGATGTATAAACTTATGTTTACAACTCGTTAGTAATACATACATTCATTTGTAATCTGTGTAATAATAAGTGCTATTATAAACGCTTACTCATATAAAAATCGGATTAACAATATATTAATGTATTAATGTCCCATGATATTTACTTGCTTAACATTATATAAGTAATAATAGCTGATCTTTTCAATTTCAAGTAGTTGCATACTTACGTATTTGACGTTAATTGTTATGATGCTTAAAAACATTTTAACACATATATACAACATTTCGATATAGTTGCCTTTGGCGAAAAAGTACACTAATCAATAAAATGAGTAAGAATTGAGCACGACTACCAACAGTCTGTAGATCTGAATGTAGATTTTGAAGAGCTGGTATACCTTCAAATAAATTAGCTGTTCTCTTTATTCCGATACCTTGCAAGAAAAATGTTTTCTAAATACTTATCTGACAGTATATATTTCATCTACAATCATATACCATTTAACATACAGTTCATAGTGTGGTTATAAGCAGTAGAGTTGACGAATAGCTTTAAACTAAAAAATTAGGATATGTAATCGAGGATAATAGCTCAGACTGCTAATCAAGAAACAGTCAACCAAACGATTTCTAACACAAAAGTTCGTTCATTTCTTTCATTAGAAGCACAATTCAATGACACTGTATTGCCACACCAAGATGTGTTTTTCACTAACCTACGGTATTCTAAGTCAATAAGTGTTTGACTGACATAACCTTCTTTCTATGATGTAGTATCATTTTTCTTAGTCTATATGTACACCTACAAGTACAAAATCTAGTTTAAAGTTTTCGTGATGATTCTCCTCAGCCAACTTATGATAGTGTTGAACCAAAAGTCCAAGAGCAACAGTGAAACTAATGACAAAGTATGGAAGATTTTTGAAGATTGTTTTACTTTCTAGTTGACATCACAGACTGGTAAAATCTTTTGTACTACTAATAGTTATATGCTTCCTTATGACTAATTTCATGAGATATAAACTTTGGTTCAAGTGATAAATCTTGACCAGTGAAGTTTAATCATATCAAATGTGTGATATTTACCTTCTAACTAGAAGTTGGTTGGGTAATGTTGTGAGTCAACTAAAGTCAAGTCCACTCAGTGTTCGAAAGGTAAAGTGTTGACCTTGAAACATAAAAGTCTTAATTTCAATCCACAATGAGGTCAAAGATGCTTACTACTACTAATAATAATAATAATACTGAGGAGTCTTTTATTATCACAAAACAATTATGAAATACTTCCTGATTTAGATAAATGTCTAAAGTCAATCCATCAACTTAACTAATAAAAACAATATGTTTGCACACAACTCAACAAGTAGAACTGGAATGTCAATAATCATTAAATTTATTTTAATATAAATATCATAACAGCTAATACTATTTTGTACTGTATTCGTGCATTCATATATAATTGTTAAATAATAAAACATTTTGTCAATTATCAGTAGGTTGATTAATCAGTATACTTTTTTTAATAGAAAAAAAAAAACATATCTCATTTAATCTATTTATTATTGACTATCATCAGTGTATATTCAATGTAGAATAGTATATCAATGTTATAATCAGTTAAATTGATAGGTATTTTCTTTTAATAAAATAATAACAATAATAATATCTTGTAGAGAAACACTTGATTAATCGCATCTTCAAATTTGCTACTTTATTTTATATAAATATAAACAATTTATAAATAATAGTAATAACAATGAATTAAAACGAATAAAAATAGTAAGTTTTTAATTGGTTTTATACTATCACTGGAGACCACCACGTGATAAATCATCTCATATGTTAATGTTTTATTAATAATATTGATTAAATTACCATTATTAATCTTAATAGTAAATAAAAGTGAAAGCAAGTTTATTTTATTATTCATTATATACAATCATATCCTTACAGACAGGGAAACAGTGAGAATTTAATTAGTCTTACGTAAGATTTGTTATAAGTATATATATATATATATATATATATATATATATATATATATATATATCAATTTAAGTTATCGTATCTTACACTCAAAGGATATATTATGATTATGAACAGAAATCGATTGTAAATATTTTGAAATAGAGGAAGAAGATTTATAGCCTTGATGGATGTTTCGATAGTTTTGTATCTCTTTAGTTAGATAATTTAAGTATAAAGTATTGATTGTCATTCTGCACTTATTTCACTTTAAAAAGAAATGAAAAGTGAAAATAGTTATTAGTATGATTTACAATAGGAAATTAACTTATGATTATATAATTAAAAAGGATCAAATAATTTTAAAGAATGAAGGATTAAATCACACTATAACTGAAGATTTATTAGAATATTGAATAAACTGTGCTTTATCATTCCAGACTTCCAAACATACAGTTACTTGATTGACTTCAATTAGAAATTTTGTTTACAACTATATGAACCGGTTTTATCGATCTACATGTAGTCCCACAATTCGACCTTTAAGCAGTGAATTATTTATTAGTTTTATCAATCACATTAGTATCGATGACGTTTTTTCATAAATAAAAACAGTTGAAACGTTCTCATGAATTTCTTTAATCATAAAATAAATTTATATATCCTTTAAATAATAATAAAAAAAACATTCTTTATTAATTGAGATTTGTTTATTTATGTGTATACATAAGAATAAATCCACATACATTATGTATTAATTAAGTTAGTTTATGAGTTAAAAGCTACAATCTACTTTTAGACTTAATTTTCTTTAAAGACAATCTTATATAAAACTGAATCAGTTAACAGACAAATTACTTAATAATCCGATAAAATGAACACTTTTCACTTGATAATTATTAACTGTTAATTGGTTCAAAGTGGTTCATTTGGTGTATTTGAATAGTACATAACAAATAAAACAACGATGATGATGATATTGATGGTGGTGGTGTAATAAAGAAGGTCAAGAAATGGAAAATTCTAGGAGTAGGCCTTACATTGATTGCATAATATTAAACTTGTAAGTATATTTAGTGAATTTTTGCTACGAACGTATAAATCCAAATAACTGGTAATCAATCAATATGATATAAAAATTTATATGTAGCAAGCAGAATTACCACCATAATCGATGATTTTTGTTTGTTCTGAAGAAATGTTTTTATGAGAACATTGGGGTAACTCACATTTCAGTTAGACCACTATTTTATTTTTTTAATTCTCTTGCCTTATTCTCGGGGATTCAGACCAGGAAAGTGAAATAAACAACCAAAAAATAAATCATTTAAACAAATGACTCATCATGACATTTACTTTGAAATAAGATAGTTAATTGACTTTTTTCTTGAAACTTAGTAGGTGTAACCTGATTCGACAATGGATTTGTGAAAATATTTTATTTTGTATGTGTAGTTCCTAATCAATTGTTCTGTGAAATTTAAAAAGCTTATTTCATACTACTGATATAATCGAAAGATTGGTATTTAATAATGAAAATTGATGAGTCGTCGATAACGCATACTTAGTTGGCGAAATTCACCATATACCTTTCATTCGGTGTATAAGAAACTCTTTGACATAATAACTATATTTTGTGGGATTTCTTTGACAGGAAAAAGTTCGCATTAGTTAAGATGGGAACGATTAAACAGTATGCCAATTATCAAAAAGTGTAAATATCGGTCATTTAAGCATGTAAAATTATAATTCAACTTGACTATCCAGACAGACGTCGAAATGTGTTAAAAAAAGCTAAGGATGGCTAGACATCATATGATGTCAGTCAGTCAATTCGTTAACTATTGTAGTGAGCGAGATGTGATGAATCATATTACCAAGGTAGGATCCGCTCGATAAGCGTAATCATTGGTTGGAGATGCTGAACAATGAAGCTTAAAACTGATGTATCAACTCTTTAACTCCTCTCAAATATTCTGGATTTCAAAGCATTATATGGATTTATTGCAGTTTCAGAAATACATCTGTGTTGATTCTTTTTGAAATTAAAAGAGACTAACATTAAACAGAATCGTATGCTGTATAAATGGTTGATTTGATTTCTCAACCACTACGTAATATAGCTAGCTTTAAATCAACTTACACTCTGACCAAATCTTGGACTGTGTTACAGGTAACGCATTGAAATATTCATTTAATTCTGAGGATTAAATATAATGTAAGATATATGTAGTACATTTTAAGATGGAGTACAATAATCGACATTCTTCATTATTAGAAAGCCTGTTTTACCTAATTCACACGTCCTAACTTTCGCCGGTAAAAGGGTATCTTTCATTATCTATAAGTTTATCGTAACTATAAATTTCTGTATTTCTGTATGATATGTATTTTAGAATATTAAGATAGTAGTATTTTGTGGTTACCTTCTGAATGGTTTAAAAGTGATTTTGTTGATTTTATTGAGTAATATTGGTTACTGATAACGATAAAATAGATTGCATAACTAAATATAATATGTATAAAATTCTAAT